AAGGTTTGTTGCAATTACAGAAAGGGAAAGGTTGTTGATGCAATTGCAGCCGGTAGTCGCTTCATGGCTGTGCAAGCTGTTAGAAACACCGACACTAGTCCTATTCTTGGGACACAAAAACCAAAGATAGCAGAAGAGGTAGCTGTCCCTGTCATGCCGGTTGAGAGAAACGGCTCATCATACGCTTGAACGTAGTCTCAACCAAGAACACCACCATTGAAGCTAAGGGTGTTCGCGGCTTGGATAGATCAATTTTTTAACCATTTTTCTATCAAATTTAGTTTAATTAGATTGAAGAAATGTCAAACTAATCCAATTTAATTAATATATATTACAATCAAACCAATTAAGTTATTATTGGATTAGAATAGTTGAGATTAAATCGATCGGTTTTGTCCAAAGACACTCACTTTTAAGAGTTTGATTATATTATTCTATTTTTCATAATTAAATTTCAATTATACAAAAACAAAATCTCGGGTTAATTGCGAAAAATGTGTACAACTATACCTTTTGTTAAAAAAATAACATTTTTTAAAACAGTTCACAAAAAAATCACAACCCCTAGAGAAAATAATGTTTATTCCTCTTTTTTTTTTTTTTTTTTTATCAACAAAAGCAATCTTTATTCTCTAATAGTTGCAGCTCAACTTATAGGGTTAAAGTATATTAATTGCTCCCTTATCTTAATAAATTTGAAGGTTTTAGCCCCTTATTTTACACTATGAAGTTTTGAGCCCTTAAACTTAAAGGATTAAAGATTTCAGTCCCTAAACTAATGGAATCTATTAATTCTCTATTAACGTGAGAATAAAATATTTACAAAATCAATTCTCAAATATTAAAAATATAATAATTTAGTTGCAAAAGTTTAAAAATTAAAAAAATAGTAAATTAAAAATAATTAGTAGATGCCTTTGCCTCATACATGTGAATAATATTAGATATCTAAAATAAAATGGAGTGATTAACTCAATTTAAGAAAAAAATTTGACTAAGACTAAGGAAAATTTTTTAACTATATTCTTTTAATCTCTTGAAATTTTTATCTTAATTGAGCTAAGAAATTTTATTTAATCTCAATCAAAATTATTTCTTGAAATTGAGATAATTACTTGATTTATTATAGATATCTAATACTTTCTAGTGTACATGGAAAAGTCATTTGTTAATTCTTTTTAATTTACTAATTTTTTCAAATTTTAAACTTTTGAAATTAAATTGTTATATTTTTAATTTTTGAGGATTGATTCTATAAATATTCTATTCTTGCTTTGACAAATAGTTAACAGATTCCTTAAGTTTCTTGCTTTAACAAAGAGTTAACAGATTCCTTAAGTCCAAGGGTTAAAATCTTCAAACTTTTAAATTTAAAGATTAAAAACTTTATAATATAAGATAAGGGATTAAAAGTTTCAAATTTAATAAAATAAGAGGTTAAATGTAAAGTTTAGCCCAACTTATAGTTGGTTGTGCATCTATACAAAAAAATAAAGACACATTTATAATATTGTCATCCATTGTAATCAACTTATGAATACTTAAAGCAATTAATTATATATCTTAAAAGAAATACATATAGGAATTTAAGAACAATATGGACATCAATGGGGAAAATATTTAAAAGATCAAATCAAGGAAAGGGTGTGGTAGATGAATATAAACATATTGTGCCTATAAATCTTAATAAATATAAGAAGAAAGAAACTAATGGCCTTAAAATCTAAATATGAATTTCAAATGCAACAAACTAGCGATTTAAGGCAATTGACATTGTTTTAGCATATAAGAAATGAGAAAGAATACTCTCAAATGGGTGAATCAATAATTAAAAACTTAAAATTTCATATTAAAGATATTAAGTTCGAACCTTCAATTTGATAAAGACGAATTTAAAAAAAGAGAAGGGCTCTTCTCTCTTATATAACCCATTATTATCAAATATACTTAATAATAATAAAAAAAAAAAAAGAATGAGAAAGAATATTTTTTTGATTAATCTAGTAAAATCAAATTATCGGTTCGGTTGTCATAGAGCAAAATTGATAATTGAAAACCAATTTAATTAGTTTCTAGTTTTTTAGTCAAATTAATCTCTTTTTTTTTTGATGGATCAAATTAATCTAATTAAATAACAGTTTAAATCAGTTTTAAAATTAGATTGAATTGGATTAGTTAGGATTAATCGGATTAGTATGGTTATGAACACCCCACACTAATCAGCCGTAAAATAGAATTAAAAAAAGGCCGAAACGCTCAAGAGCACCAAGAGCGTCACCGTTGGGAAGATTGGCTCCACTGCATGTATTAGCTCTCCAAATGGAAGGGCTGTTCAAGACAGAAAGATAAAAGAGCCAAGAGTACCAGTAATGGTTCGGCGGCAATAGACTAGTATGAAGACAAGTAGGAGGCTTCAAAGAGAAAATTGGAAGAACGATACAAAGGAATTCAAGAGAGCGGAAAGAAGATCAAGGGAGAAAAATGTTCAGATACATACTTTGTTGTTGTTATTATTATTATTTTAATGATACGAATTTTCTGGTTTCTAAATCAAATTATAAACTTTTATTTTTTATCTAAAGATACAAATTTATTATTTTTCATTTTAAAAATACAAACTTTGCCTTATTTCAACTAAAGTTATTGTTTGTCACATCATTATCGTCATATTTAAATAAAAATAAGGTAAACTTTGTATCTTATTAAAAAAATAAAAATTTACAACTTGATTTAAAAATGAATAATGATTGAAATATCCTTTAATTTAGCATATTCATTAAAAATTATAATTTTTAAATTTAGATTAAAAGTGGGAAAATTAAAAACTAAATTTGAATTAAAAGAAGAAAAACTAAAAACTATAGATTTTAATAGTTAAATCTATGATTGTTATGAAATATATTGAATTAAAGGATAAATTAATCATTTTTCTTTAAAAATATAAAAAATTTATATTCTTAAATAAAAAAATAAAAAAATTATATTTTTAACTATTAATTTCAAGGTGAGCGAACTCAAAGATCTTCCCAAGCAAGGTATCATTAGGTGCTCCTGCTCCGCCAACTGAAAAATGGATAATGAAGACCAAATATGGTTGACATTAGTGCAATAGGACAGTACAGTAGTGACCTCCATGGAATGCATTATTTCTTGGTTTGTTATAAACTGTACAACATTAATTACTATATTCGGATATTCCATCTATCTATTATTATCAAGTACATATGTATATATAATGATTTGAACTTTTTTTTTTTCTCAAAAAATCAATGCCATTCTGTTAGTTTTTCAAATTTTGGTTACTTTATTCATAATAATGACTCAGCAATCTTGATGATGGCCTGATGATCAGGTGGGTGTTTTGAGTTTTCTTGTACACACATATCAGAACAAAAATCATTCCAGCTTTGAACCGATAACTTCTAATGAAGGGAAACAGTTGGTCTAGCAAAATACTACTTCACTATGCTTTTAACTTCTTAATTAAAAAAACATAAACTTCCATAGACCAAAAATTCAATAACTAAGGGAATCACTTTAGTCCCCAATATTCCTAGCCAGCTAGTAGCTACGTATCAATGATTCATTAATATAGACCACAAAAAAAAAAAAGAGTATATTGGAGATATGAAAATTAGTTTATGAAAATGATGCAATGAAGTTGAAACAATTTATAATGAACTCGTGATGACATGCATTCAAATCAGATTTAAGGTCTGTCCCTTTTTTATTCCCGAGTATTTCACTTAAGACTGCAATTTCATCCTCCTTGCTCCAAACTTGCTGAATAAACTACAATTCGCAAACTTCGAACGTTGCTTTGGTAATAACTTCCTCTGCAGTTTTAACCCTATATAAATTACTGTTTTGTTTGTAACATTATAACCACCGCATTTGCAAGTGCTTTCTTTGTATCAGCACTAACTTGAGTTTCCTCATAAGGTAATACGTACATCAAAATCATTAGCTTCTTGGTCAAGGAGTTAAATCACTCTTACTAACACCATATTTTCTAGCAATGTTTTCAACAACCTGCCAACATCCAAGAAACATTAAGAGGCTAGACTACACTTCAGATGATAATGGAGTGAACACAGAAATGTGTTTCGGCATAGCATAACCAAAGGCCTAAGATTGCTACCATTTCTAGGCAAAAACAGAACAACAACAATATATGCCATGGTAGCATAACTATTGTGATATCAGCACAATAATACCGACAGAGTTGTGTTTTAGTTAAAAAGGGAGTTTGCTCTTTATTTATTTTATTGACTAAAGTTTGAGTTTTTAAATAATTAATGATAATGTAATTTCTTTATGAATTTTTTAATTCCAAAGTAGATGATTTACTTTAAACTAAATAAGAGAAATATTAATCTTGAGGTAGTTTGCAGATTAACCTAGGGACATTTTAACCACTAAAACAAAAATAATATAAATAAATAAAGCACAATAATTGGAAACACTCTATATAAATTACAATTAATATTTTAACTTAAGCAAATAATCATTACACAAAAGGATAAACCATAATATAAATCCAATCACACAATATGTAACCTGTAAGGGTCCCTTTCTCTATAAAAGAGCTGAAACACGGTTTTAAGGAGACCCCACAATTCTCCATAAAAGAAGATTAAATTAATCCATATCCATTGGTAAGAATAGTTCAGAAGATATTTTATTAATTTTATTCATCTTGTAGGTGAAATTTTACAGATAGGATCTAGAAAATAATTTTGATGGAAAAATCAAATAGTTTTGTATGTACCTTGAAAGAGTAGTTCGAATCTAACCTATATTAACTATTGCAATAGGACTACTATATATATATATTGGTATTGTAATTCCATATTAATGAATCACTGATCCGTAGCCAAGATTGGGGACTACAGTGATTCCCTTGGGTATTGAACTTTTGGTCAATGGAATTTTATGTTTTTTAATTAAGAAGTTAAAAAAAAAATTCGTTCTAATCTAATGGTATTAAACTCTGAGTTAAAACTGTTAATTTCTTGTAGATTATACGTTCAAATCACATAGAAACCTTTTCTCTCATTTCTCAATCAACTTATAAATAATTACAATATATTAAAAAAAATTAAGAAGTTAAAAAGCATATTGAAGCATAGTGAAACATTTTGCTGACCAACTATTTCTCTTTATTGGAGCATGTATGATGGGAGTTATCTTTAAATTTTTTTTAATGAGAATAAAAGCAAAACACTGTACCTGTTGGAGAGATCGTTCAAACCAAGCTTTTCTCTCAGTAGCACTAAATAGAGAAACGAGTTTCGTCAATTTTTTGGCCTAAAAAAGGCTAAAACGACGTTGTTTTAGTCCCTTTTGGGCGAAAAAATTTGACTGCCTGACATGCGCTGCGCAGGTGGTGGCAAGCCTGCCACTTATTCAAATGTTATTGGATTTTGAATCCAACGGCTAAAATCTTTTTTTTTTTTTAATTTTTAAATTCAAAATTTATATTTATATATAAAATGTGAATAGAATAAAATAATAATTGTGTGATTTTTGAAAAGATTCTATTTAAAAATATTTATTGAAAGAGAGATATTTTATTAGGTGTTCTATTTAGAGATTAAAAATAAAAAATATATATATAAAATAATATTAATTGTGATAATGTGAAAGTATAATAAACTTTTTCATTGTTCTTTATTATACATGTTCTTAGAATTAGTAACGTGTAAAGCTAGAATGATTTTAGTTTTGATATGTGTACAAGAAAACTCAAAAGACCAACCTGATCATAGGGATGAAGCCACACTTTTTGGGTTAGGGTGAGGCAAAATTTTAAAATTTTTTTAAGTCATGATCAATTTACTTTAATATAATTTAGACAAATTTTTATATAAATACCAATTTTGTGTGTCAATGTATCACTTCTATCATACACACCAAAGTTAAATTAATTAGATATATTAAATTAACTTTTTTGTAAAATATAATTTATTATTTTTAAATAAATACTATAAAATTAAAAAAATTTATTAGTTGGAACTGCATAAGACAAAAATATACTCCAGAATTATTGAAATATAAACTCTAATTAAAAAAGACAAATAATATATTTTTAGGAAAAAAATTGTTAGGTTCCTTGATGAGTTTTGATGATGAGTTAAGATCATAATTTATTGGTATTTGATGAATTTTATTTTAAGTATGTAGGTAAGCTAATTCAAGGGTTTTAATATTTTCTTATTATTAGAATTAAAGTTTAATAACAAGCTCCTATTCTCTTTTATTGTTCTAGATTTGAATCAATATAAATCAGTTCGAACCAATCCCATGAAATTAAATTTAAACGTTTTTCAAAAGTGGTTCGAACCAATGTTTCCATGTTCAATTCGAAAATTTCGGAAGGGTCTGGCAAACAACATTGTTTTAATGAGCCATAAAACTTGGTTAACTAGATGCTTTTTCAAGACAGAAATGAAGACTTGTTAAGGAAAGTTGAAAAAGGCATAAATAAATTGGAGCAACATTTGAGGCAAAAAGAAGACTTAATTGTAAAAGACTCCTCCACCCACCATTTCAAATTAGATTCATGTTTAAGACAATCAACACACTCCAAGATCATAATAGTATATTTGAATTTTCTATAAAAACAATATGCTTGTGAGTTCTTTGACTAACCTCTCTTGTCACAAGGGTTTTGTATTATTCTTAAATTGGAATAATCCTTGAAGAATTTGAGTTCTTAAGGTTTATTTGTAAACAATTCCTAAAACCTAAAAGCAATGTGTGAGGATTTTTTCATGATTAAAATTGTATTAAAGTAAATGAGTGCAAAGAGCCCTCAACCTTACATTACAAAAGGTGGGCAAACAAAGGAACTAGGAATCCTAAGCACATAGAACTAGAAAAAGACACTAACCTCCAAAGTAAAACATGGTAGAAGCAGAGTTGCCTTTAATCTATCCAAAGGTTTTTGCCTGCACTAAATCAACTATATTGTTCTCATCCCAAGAAAAATTCCCAAAAGTAATACCATTTCTAAAGTACCAAATGTACTAAATCAACTACATTATTCTTGTCCAAAGAAAGATTCCCAAATGTAATACAATTTCAAAAGTACCCAATGGACCAAGTAGTAGGTAGACCTGGCAAACGAGCGGGAAGGATTGAGTTAGAGGCGAGTTAGAAAAGGCCACAGGTCAAAACAAGTTGAGTTAAAATGAGTCACGGATCAATAAAAATTGATCTTAACCCGCCTATCATGGGTCATAGGTCTACTCACGGGTTGACCCAATTGAATTTTTTTTCTATTTTTTTCTTTATAATTTGTACCTATTACCATCTAACGAAAATTATTCAAAAGATTTAAAAATGAAATTCAACACAAACTCCATTGGAAGATATTTGTTCTGGCCATTGCTTTCAAAGAATCAATCAATTGAATGCATCTAAGTAAGCAAAGGAGAAGAAAGCACTTGTCAGACTCGAAGAAGAAAGAAAAAAAAGGTTGAGTCGATGTGATGGTGACTTGGTGAGACTAAGATCTGAGTTTGAGATGATGTTAAAGACTAAAGAGAAAAGGTGAAGTTAGAGCTTGAAAGTCGAAGGCTATATGGACTATGGAGGTTGAAGAATATGAGAAAAGTTTGAACTTTAAAGAGCTAGAGTCTTAGAGAGTATTAGAACAAGCAAGAATAGGAAAGGTCGGGAGGTGAGTCATGAGTGGAGTGGGATTATTTTTGCTTCTAAAAGATGATGAGCTAAGAGAATCAATTACCTAATTAGGGAGAATTAAACAATTATTAGAGGTTTAGGTGGGAGTGGGAATTGGAAAACAAAATAAATAAATAAATAATTTTAAATTTTTAGATAGGTAAATAGGTCAAATCCATTAACCTGGTGGGTCAACCCATTATTAACTTGTGACCCATTAAGTTCTCTTAACAGATCATTAACAAGTCACAGGTCATAGATATCTGAGCCTAACCCATTTTAAATAGGCGGGTAATGGACAAGTTAGCAGGTCAGGTGAAAAATTGTCAAGTTTAGTAGTAGGTAAAATAGTAAGCAGCCTATAGTTTCTTACTTTCTTAGAAGTCGGCAGTGAGCTAAGTTGGAGCAGCATGTGGGATGCATTCTTAGTGGAGACAAAAGAGAACCCCCACCATCAACAGATCCTATTCCAAAGATTTTTTGACCATCTACACTTAGTGAAGACATGATTAACATCCTTTATATGAGCTAGGTGAGGGTTTAATCTTACACATGTAAGCAATAGTTTATATTGATTTAATTTTACGTCCATAAGCAAGAAATTATGCCAATTTAATTTTGCACCCATAAATAAGAAGATCCTAATAGATTGAACTTTTAAGTAAGGAGGTTTGGGAGTGTACTTCAGAGGAGTAACCACTATAAATTATGGCTTGATCTCTTCTTCTCTACACTTTTGATTTTCTATTTTCATATTATTTGTCTGATCTATTTTATAGCTTAATTAAAACAGAAACTTGGGTAAAAAAATGTAAAAGTTGTTTAGTTGTATTTTCATACCCAATTCACCCCTTCTAATTGAGTCAATCGATTTATTTTTGAGGTAACTAGGACTACATGTTGTTTGGATTTGATTAAATAAAAGTAACAAAAGTAATAAAAATACAATTTTTTTTTTGAAGGCAAGTAAACTCACTTCTAGATTTGGAAAAAAAAAAAAAACCCTTTTAAAAATAAGTTCTTTTAATAATTTTCTTTTTTAATTTTTGTGCTTTTTGAAAATTTATTTTACCAATTTTTTCCTACTATCGGGAAAATAAAAATTGAAGTGTAAAAGTACCAACGACGAAGAAGGCAAGGCATGTCAAATAGGAGGTGGAACTCTTCTAAGCCGAAGAAAAGGTACTGGTACCAAGTTTTATCTCTCAGACGGTGGATAAGATTATGCCACGCATGTGGAGCTTTTAATTCATCCTTAAACCGAGATAAGCAAGACAAAGTTAAAGGGAATTATATTTAGCTCATTGGCAGAGGCTAATTGTTGGATTCCGTTGATAATTTATTTAGATAATGTGTCAACTGTTGATATTTGGTGTGAATTGAGAATTGGAAATGTTGAAACTTTTGGGAATTTTAGATACAGAAAAGCGAGGTGCAGTCCATTCAATATAGACTGCACTTTACTCAACTACAAAGAAAGAAATGGATCTTGTGATATTAAAAATCACCCCTTTATTAATAGTTAACTATTTTGTAATCTGTTTTACATTCTGTTTTAGATATAAAGTTTAGCAGGAGAAAAATGTTTTTTTTTTTTTTTGGAAAACAATTAATATAAGATTCAAAAATCCTAAAAGCTTTTAGGATAACTTTTGGAGACAAGTAAACCCACTCCTGAGTCTTTGAAAAAACACTTCTGTGTTTTAAAAAACACGTTAAAACTGAGTTATAAGGGGACTAAACAGCACGAAAAAGCTCGAGTGATGAAAAAAATAAATAAAAAGAAAAAAAGAAGAACACCGTAGGCATTTAATTCTTTCATGCTAATATCCAATTAAATTACAAGAGGAGACAAATTTTTGAGAAACAAAGTTGATACATGAACAAGCAACGACCTGATGAAATATTAGATTAGAAATTAAATTGAAACTTTCAAGCTTATACATCGGATCACAGCTCTAACTTAGAGTCATGTCTTGTTTCACGGTGTGGAACTCGTAAGGAATGTGGTTGGCATTGTTCTTCCTCTAAACACTTGGCGCACCTGCATCTGAAGCCATAATCTGCAAGTAATGCTTGCCTCTCTTCAAAAGGAAGGTCCTCATCTATGTACGAAATGGTGATCTGAAAATGCCCAGTTGTGCCATTTTTGGTCAAAGTTTGCTAAGTAAGGTTTTTGTGTCTAATTATTGATTGGAAATAGGAAACATGAATATTTTTACCTCTTCTCCCTTGCATATAGGCCTGATCGCGATAATGGTTGCCTGGCCATCCCTGTCCTGCAGTTGAACGTTAATAGATGAAGAGAAACAGACTAATGAAGGGAAGAAAATCCTGTGTCCTACATTTTGTTAACATGTACTGCAGACACTCAAGACAAGCAGCTGTTTCTTTGCGCATCAAGCAATCAATTTGTGAGGCCACAAAGAAGCAATATAAGATCTTCCTCAGACATATTTAAAATAAATTTATAAATAAAATAGAAAAAGTGCAAGTTCTCGAAGATGAAAACAAAAATGGTTTAGACAATTCTGCAAAGGAACCGTACCTCTTCTCTTTTGAATGCTTTTGCATTAGGACAGCAAGAATGGTTCATACAACTCTGCAAAGGAAAAAATGCAGTACCTAAAGCAAAATTTAGCAATAAAGAGTTAAATTACTAATCACTACAAATGGATAGAAGAAAATTACATAAAATGCAGGCCATGACATCATTTAACCTAACTTATAAACAATATTCAAGCCCGGATTTAAACATCATTTAGAAGAAAGGATATTCAAATTTAACACCTAAAAGTATGGTTTGTTGCAGTACTCACAAAGATAACAAGCATTTTAAAGGCAAAACCCTACATTAAGCCCTCAAACTTAGCCCACATTCTCAATTAAGCCCCTAGACTTTTATTGAAGCAAATAAACCCCTAAACTTGGCAATTTAGGCAATTTAACCCTCACCCTTACAGCAAATTTAACTCCTGTTTATGCCTTGTTTGCATGGACAAAGTCAATACCTGCCATGTAGGCAATGACATGTCAATATCCTTTTCACGCAAGTGAAGCATAAATAGGCATTAAGTTCACTATAAAGAAAAAGGGCTAAATTGCTAGTGAGGTTATTGCCACACCCTAAATAGTTAATGCCGCATCTTTTTAATGTAATTGCCTATTATACCCTTACATTATATTTTTTTTCAAAATTTCTTTTTTTTTTATTTCTTAATAAATTAAAGGGGTATAATGGCCAATTAAGATAACAAGGTGTGGCATTAGTAATTGAGGGTGTGGCAATAACATCACCCCTAAATTGCCCCAATTACCAAGTTCAAGGACTTATTTGCTTCAATAAAAGTTTAAGGGCTTAATTGAGAATCCGGATAAGTTCAGCGGCTTAACATAGGATTTTGCCCATTTTAAATTCCTCACGAGGATAATTCAATAAAGAATAAAAGGAAAGGAAAAAGTAAGCATGTACTTATATAATAAATTTAAGAAAATAAAATGCCAATGAAATTCTATCTTGTTGAGATATACCTTGACAGCAAACTGAGTAGTCATCACCAAGGGCATTCAGATAAGCTTGTGTAATTTTCTCAGCTTCTTCCTGCCATGAGTGATTTATGGCATGACACCAGAGCATCTATACTTTAGGAAACCCTTTTTTTTTTTTTTTCTTTTACTAGAAGAAGCATGAATTCTAACCTTTTCAGGGGAAGGGAGATCATCAACATACAGAAAGTAATCCTCCACTGGGGATGCTACAACTAGATCACTGTTTCATATGGAACTGCAAACCATTACTTGAAAGCCACAACAAAAATACAAACATGATTTAAAATGGGATATAATTTATGTTATGAAGCACATCTGCTTTGTATTAAGTTTCAACTTTCAAGTACTAAACATGTCATTGCTAGTATCATTCTTCTCCACACACCAAAAAAAGCTGAATGAAACTGCCACGAGTGAACTTACAGATTATTGAGCTCAAACATGCCAATTATATGCCCATATATTTCGAGGGAGAATACTTGTAAAGTTAAGGACTTCAGTTCATAGACTTTCAGAATGGAAAGAACAATATTTACTTAGAAAATAACATTGAGTGAATTAAGATTGATAAAAAGGATACATGGTTCGCATTCCTTCTCAAATATGGCTTCCTTAAGGAGCTGGAGTGACTGAAAACATTGAAAGTATCCTGTCAGGATAAGGTTTTAATAAAGCAGAAAATATTGCAGAACCTGATCCAAGTGAATGCATCACCTTAAGTTACAACAATAGCAATGGCATTTCATGGATTCACAACCTTTTAAACAAGCAAATTATGGTTTTTACATTTTAATGGAAAACAATAAATCATTTAACTCACAGCCATGGTGAAATTAACACCTGTCAAGGACTGGAAGAATGTCACTTGTAAAAAAGCAATTTCAAATACAAGAGCGAGCTAATCATAATAGAAACATGAAGTGTAAGTTCACTTCTCTATAGTATGGGAAACATGAAAAGAATAATGAATGCTTCAAAGAGGAAATAGAGATAGTTGAGGCTGACAACTACAAAGAAATGGACATACTAAAAAAAAGGAGAAACCATTGTTGTAGATATAAATGTAATAGCAGTTCAATCTTGCCCAACAAATTATGATTCTCAAAAAAGATCCATTCCATGATTTCTTTAAGAAAAGATGAGGGAAAAGGCCTACATTGCCAACTATTGATGATTCAATCTTAAATTCTAGGTTAGATGATGCTGTACATTAATTTAAAGTTGTGCAGAAAGTTCATAGTGCCTTGAACAAGAGTAATATACTCTCAATCAGCAGTTCTGCAAAACTTTTTATGTAAGGTTGAATTGTTTCACATAAAAGAGCAAGCAGTTTACACCTTTGGATGGATGACAATGAAAGGTCACACCATGTACAGTATAATGATCAACCACCATTTCTACATTTTATGTGCCTCCTATATAAAGAAATCTTACTGTGAATGCAAGTTCCCTTATCTGCATCCTAAATGTGGCTTCATCAGAATCATCAACATCATCTGGGAGTGCAATACAATCCCACCACCTAGAGGAGGAAAAGGGAAATAAGTTTCTTTAAGTAAAAAGATAAAAAAATGTTTCCTCATCCGTAAATCAAGACCTAATTTCCATATATTAATTTTTTTTACTTAAAAATGATGAATGGGACATTGAGGTGACCAATTACAGACTATGAAGATCATATGAATTATGATCCATGATGTTAGAAATACCAAGTGGACAAGTACTTGCCAAATCATATTTCATTGAATAGTTTAGTTTGTTGGAAACATTAAGTCACAGTGCTAAAATCCAAGGTCTTGAAATTGGTAAAGGTATGGCCTTAGAAATGACAAAGAGGTATCTTGTTGACGATGGCTACCTTCTCTTATGTCCAATTGATATTGGTTTCCATGCTTCCAAAAGTAAGGATACATCACAACTGCTAAAAGTATATGGTTCAGTTTTCTGCCCTTCTTTGGAAAGAGTTGCTTTCAACTTCCTATACCTTAAAATGGTGGAAGAAATTGCCTGATAAATGGAAACCAATAAAATATTTAAAAGTAAGCCCAAGATAAAGGGAATATCTTAACTACCCTATACTGTACTTGGTGACATTCAAGTCAAATGGTTCTGCAAAATTTTTCTTTTCAGTATTCTGATGTTGCAATAGTTGGGCAAGCCATGTGACATTTATTGAACTGTAGTTGAATCCATTTCTTATAGCACTTTCTTTATTAATAGAACAAAATGGCAAAATAGTACCTAGCAGAATGCAGCAAACAAGAGACAGGTTCATACCCTTTTCAATATTCATGCATGATGCATTTAAACGACGCCTATAAAAAGCTATAGATAGAATTAGGTTAAAATTAGCAGTACCTTGGCAGCAAGGAGGAAAATATCATTTGTTTCTGAGAATTTGAAGGGAAAACAAAGGTTAGAAAGGGAAAATTGAGAAGCAAGAAAATAAACAACAGAGCAAAATTTAGTGTTACTGGGGGAAAGATTTCAGTGAAACAACCAACAACCTCAAAGATTTACCATTTGCATGCTGTATGAATTTTGACAGTGCTTCCCTAGATAGTGTGTCCGATTTCTCCCCAGTACAAAGCAAAGAATGAAATAATTGCCAGTCAGCTTCAGCACATGATTTACTGCAGCATGTTGGGAGCGTTGTTAGAGAGGTAAGAAACAGAGAACACCTAATTGTGCCATGGGAATAATTTTTCGATATGATAGTGGCATAAACCAGTTACCTTTTTTTTTTTTTTTCTATTTTTCTTCAAAGTCCTACATATTATATCAGTAAGAAGGGAGTACTTACTCTTTCAAATTGTATCAAAAGATATTTCCATTTGAAATTGGATATTACAAGTAATCAAATTGGGCATTAAAGCAGTCTAGCAAATGCCTTTTTTTTTTTTTTTTTCACTTTCTATTTTTAATGTTTTTTCTTTTCCCTCTTAGCAATAGTTATAGGTTGGGATCCACAACATAGTGCAACTTTCATTTATATATAAAAGAGAATTGTTAAGGGAATTCTTAGTCCCCCAAAGGGAGATCAATGTGAGGGCAATCTGAATTGTTGAACAGAAATATGTTCTGTAGCACAAACAGGGAAAAATGGCAAAATTCAAGTTTAGATCGAGAGAACAATAACTTCTAATGAGCAAGAAAGGTTCTCATACCTACAATAGTGAGCTTCTTCACATCCCCCGGGACATGAAACAACAGAAGGCAATGGAAATTTGTTTGAGTAAGGCAATACTAAGTTGCCATTTATTAATGATTCCAAAACCTCTTTAGGCAGAGGACTACTCTTGGAACTGCAAGAGGCTCCACTTTGAGAACTACCATGATCTTTCATGTAGAAATTCTCCTCTTCATCAGATGAATCAGTATCAGAACAACCTTCTGTAGTGTGTGAAAACATCTCGATACTACATTGATTATTTGAAGAAACACCTAGAGATCTCAGATATAGTTTCCGTCCTATTTGTAGTTCCATTGAGCCAATAAATTGGAAACAATGGCTACAAACTAAACAATCAATCTGCAATCATGGATAAAACATGCAACCCTTAAGGGGACAATTGCAAAAAAAAAATCAATAAATAAATAAAATTACTATGATGATTGATATTAAATTAACCTTGTTCGAAGTATGCTGTGCACCAGCAAGCATTTGGTCCTTCAAAATAAGTTCCTCTTCTCCAAAGTCCAATTCAGCATAGATACCTAAGTTTCACAAGATGCAGTGGGTCAATGCCATCAATAGGAAACAAAATCCATAAGTAACCCCCTCCCTAAGTCCTACCATGAAGATGAATCACTATCAAAGACACAAGGTTGACAAAAAAAAAAAAATAAAAACAAAAAAACTAGCTGGTCCATTTAGAAGAAGCAAGCAAAGCCAGTGTTGAGGATGTATATAGAATTTATACCCTTTCCGAATTCGCCGTCTTGTTTCACTTTGATACCTCGGCATCCCCGTTTTGATATGAGCTGCTCAAAATACTCCTGCAAATCATGGCTTTCAACAAACCATCAGCAAATTTCAAATACCCTTTTGTAATACTCTATTGGGTTATATGCAAATTTTTTTCATGGACAGAACAAGGAAGAGAGAAGGAATACCTGGACTTCCGGCGGGGAGGTCGGTCGGAGGAGAGCCGAGATTTGAGAAGTGCAACGTTGATCGATTGGGCAGATGGACTCCATTGCGGCGGTTGAGCAAACACACAATTGCCGCTGTCTTAACTCAAAGCTTCAAGTGAAGATACACAGCTGACGGCGCCACTAAATCACCTGTCCGCAGGACCACCGTAGTAGCGTGATCTGTCATCCTTCAACTACCGTGTAATTTTTCTACTTATTTTTATATTAAAGATAATACTTCTCTGTTTTATTTGAAATATCATTTTAAAATTATGTTATTTTAATAAATATTTATTAAAAAATTAAAATATTATATTTTTAAGACATAAATTAAAGTATTTTTTTTTATCTTTTTCTCTATTAATTTCTTGAAAATAAGACAAAAAAA